ATACTTATATCATCGATCTATATATCTTATACTGAAATGTTCAGATAGAGTACATTATTTTTATGTTAGATATCGTTTATTGTATTGATTTCATTTGTCTTAATATTTGAATAGAATTATATGTTGTATATTCACGACAGAATAGTCTTATTAATTATTATTACTCTATGAAAAAAAAAAAAATATTTACTAGATTTCATAGTTTTCATTTTGAAATAATAATTAAAAAAAAATAAATCATTTTTTATTTAACTTATTTGAAAATTTTGTTGAAATCAAAATGACTCTCTATACATTTTCATCTTATGATGTTTTCATTCTAGTATAAACTTTCATTCTCCTGAAGTCTTATAAAAAAAAAGAAATATACTAGATACTATATGTATATTTTAGGGGATCAGGCAAGATTGAATCAGTAGTGGTTGATTTTGGTCTATGGCGCATATGTTTACCAATCGAGGGAACAACGGTATGTGATGACATACCAACAGAGTGTTTGCGAGCGACGGGTGAAGTTTTTCAAACATGCAATGAAATGGTGGCAGCTCGAGCATTTATAACGATTGCTTGTATTCTGTCAGGATTATCTGTTGTATGTCTTTTTATTAGTGCTGTGATACAAACAGATTCGAATCATATTATGTTGATGATCAGCAAAGTTCTTCCATTTGCGTCTTTTGTCGCTGGCATTATTGGACTAGCTTTGGGTATTTTTTATGTCACTTCGTCGTCTAATACGAAGTTAAGTAGTGCAGCATTCGTGGGAATTGTTGCAGTAATTATCAATATGATTGGTGCTATTTTAGTCTTAATAGTTCGATGAATAATTTGCCTTGCTTTGAAAACTTTTGATTGCTAATTGTAATTATGTTTTTCTTCGCGAACAATTGATAGCAATAAAATAAATATAAAAAACTCAGTTCACTTTGTCGAGTTCATGTATGTGAATAAAATGAATTTGATAACAAAAAAAAGCCCATTTGAAATATTAACTCTAGTTGAAGAATAATTTAATATTATACTATGAGTCATAGTATATATAAGAGTACTATTATCAGTACCAAAAGCCAGAGCACTCGAATGTTTATTGAATAGTTCATGCAAAATACAACACAATAACATGCTGTTTTTCAGTATTTGATAGCCAAAACTGTAGAGCATCTTTTCATAAGCAAAGCTTCTTTTCGAAAAAATTCTGAAGATCGATTTTTCATTGAGTCTCTTTGAAAAACTATGTTGTGTTCCTGTAAGTTGACATACTAGTCTATGGATGTTTTATCGTAGGTATTTTGTCTTAAATATCCTCTACAGAATTATATCTAACCCAAAGTTCATTTTTTTGCTCGGATCCAGAGTTTTCAATGATTTTTCAATAGACCTAAGATTTTCATATTATTCGATGAGGTGCTTTTAGAAAGACAACAAAAGATAGATTATCGATCAGACTGAATCTTATGAGTATATCAGTTGTCAAAAAGAAAAAAACAAGAATTATACGAAACCCTATCGTAGGTCAGCAACGCATACCACATTTTGCTGTATGCTTGCTGATAATCCACATATAGAGCGTGTGTTGGCATGCTTGCTACCATGTTGTTGCTCACTTCCTGATAGATAAAAAAAAACGCGAGTAGAAAGCAGACAGTCCAGACGAAATCCGAATTGCTTTGACGGCACGGGTTGGTTAGTTTCCATCCAATATCTTATTCTTTTCAATTTTACTTTTTCAAAAAGTTTAGAGTGTGTAGCAAGAAGAGATAAAGATCTTGTTTGGTTAAATCGTGGAATACTTTCTTTCAGCTTGTTGAGTGAAGTGAGTGATAGTTTTCATCACATTGCGCACATCTTGGCTAGTGCGAACAATTATGAATTTAATTCTTGATAAGACTTTGAAGACATCTATCAACAGCGGGTGCAATAGATTATTCTATTGCCAGAAAGAAAAGGCATGACCGGTAGTATAACATTTCCAATCGAGATACAGCGCGTGTTCAGAGATCTGCCATAATTGAGAAAAATTCTTCACATTAAAACGATAATCATCTGTCTTTCGAGTATATCCATATTGAATTCACTTCATGATTTCGACTAATACAATTGATTTGGATATTTCTTCACATACAAAATCAGAATCCATGCCTTGAGGCAGCATATCAGATAACTAGCGCGAAGCAATCAGAGATAAATTTTGGTTTCTGGATGATGATGAGCACATTAATGAATTGTATAGATCATTTGTCGGCCGACATTAGTTTTATATAATCTTCCTTATTATTTACCCTCGATTTTAATCTCATTCCCGTCAATTCAACAAAAGTAAACGGATTAATTTGAACACCTTGTTGCTTTAGATGTTCGGCACTTTTGTCTGCAGTATCAGAAGTCGATGATATTTGTCGAGAAGTACCCATACGATTAAAATCCATATAAAAACATGGCAAATTACTCGAGATAGCACGTTTTACCTTTTCAAACGATATTCTGTTTCATCGAAGAGATTTTGTTGTCTTACAGACCATTTATTGTTACTGTTGTGCTGGAGGATCTACTGAATGCGACTAAATTTGATCGGCATTGGATCGTTGTTGTTTGAGTGTTGGTGAACTACCAGACCCTGCACTACCGTTCAGTCTACGTTTATTCGACGTCGATGCATCTGGTTGTGATTGTAGTCGAGATGGAATACTCATAGATAGATTTAAATATAATTGTCATCGCTACTCATTAGCCGCCGGTTGTTAAATTAGGGAAAGCAAATATTGGCCAGATATTTTGGGTGCAGACAGTTGTTGTTGCTGCTGACGAAAGCATAAGAAATCACTTAAAAGAGTTTCATTGTTTACCAAAAAATTGATGACTTCTTCTCGCTGTACATCATCCAAATCATCAAATTGCAAGTAATAATAGTCATTTCTATACGTATCTTGATGACGGTTATTGCCATTTTCATTAGTAGGCCGTTTAGTTCTTGAGTTCCTTTGTCCATCACTCAGATCATGAGGATAATTAGCTCTTATCGTGCACTACTTGAGTTACAATGATGGAAAGAAAAAAAGAGCGATGAAATGAATGTGAAACGATTCATGCAACAAAAAAAAAAGGATTAAACATGTATATTTTTTTCTTCGTTTTTAGCATTTATTGTCCTTGACTTCAAAATATATTTCGATATTTTCAATTAAAGACAAAAGATTTGATCAAAAAACAAAATATTTAAGTACAATCATAATATTTTCGAATTTCTTCTATATCGGTTGCACTTAATGAATTTCGTTGTCCTATCCATACGTCCGGATCTTTTGTAATAATAGTTGGTCGTCCATTCATTGAAAAAGCAGTTTTTGAATAATGCATCACCGAATTATAATCATATGGAAGATTTAATGTATCAGTTACTTCAAATGAATATTTATTAAAATTATGTTCTTTTCCTATATACCAGAAAAAAGAAACATATTAAATATATATGAATCATTCATTAAAACAATTTTATTACCTGATTGTACATTATTAAAATCAATAGTTATATAATCATCTCGATCTGGACGTGATTGTTCATGCCAAAAACCAAGAGCTGTAATAGAACAAAAGATTTAATAAGACAAGAATAAATGTTTTTTTTTGTTACCATGCATAAATTCATGCATGACGGTTGCTTCACGATCAACACAATATGATTTCATTTGTAATGTAACTCTTTGACCACCTTCGTTAACACGTCCAACCTTAAACGAAACTATCAATATTTTGTAAGTATTTGATTATAACTTACATATGAACTACATCCACTACCATTTCTAATTGATATAAAATATTTATCATCAGCAGTTTTAGGTTGAAATCGAATACAATATGAGGCAGAAATTGGATCTAATGAAACAATTCTTTCCAAACGACGCATTGCCGATATAATCTTAGCACGATCATATCCATCTTGTTTTATTTCAAAAGGTATCAGATAATACATATTTTTTTTTCTGAAAAATGAACTCTTACCATAATCTGATGAAATTTCATACGGAACAATACCATTTGGCCAACGAGCAGATGGTTCTCGTTTACCTATGCCTCGAAAGATCGTGGTAGGTGTTAAAAAAATATCACCTTCAAAGTCTCCACCTAAAAAAAAATAAATAAATGATTAAAATTCTATTTTTGTGTTTATTTACCTATTTCTTCAGGATCTGGAATATTTGTATCTGCTACAGTTCTATATTTTGGAAAACTACTTGCAGAGCAAATCAATATTAAAAATATGAATATGTTTCGTATCAACATCGTTCTTTTTCTATTGTTTTTTTTTTTTTGTACTTCTTATTATTTATCTAACACTTCTCTATTATTATAAAAAACAATGTCTGTTGTCTTTCTCATGATTGAAATAAGAAAAAGTAATCGAATTGATAAATTGGATTTCAATCATTATGACGTGGCGACAATTGACTTCATGAGAAAAATATTCGAAATTTCGAAAACATAAAACTAAAAACATGACATATATATTGGAACATGTTCTTTCCTATTAAAATCTATTAATTGACTACATTGATATTGATCATAAATTTCACGAATATTATTCACAGTCATTTCATTGGACATTAATTGTGATGTTGTACCAGTTCAATTCAATTATTCTTACTTATCACTTTTCTTTTAAGTGTATATTGAAATTTTCTCTAGTGTTGTTTTACTGCGTCATACCTTACGAGGGAACATTCCCAGGTGTTGGAGCGCTTTTGAGTCGGGACTTAGTGCATCTTATAAACCGTAGGGGATTATGTTTATGGTAAAAAGAGTTCGGGCCCATGGCTTGTTTCTGGCGAGATATCGAGATTTCAGTGAATTTCCTCTATAAGACCCTACTTTTCCAGCACAACTTTATTCTCGAATTTTCGACATGAAACTTTGTCCACATAAAGACCTCAGATAGACTAGCTTGCAAAAAAAATTTCAGAACTTTTCGACGAAATCTCTTCGAGATATAAAGATGACAAAATATAGACTTTTTTCTATAGATAGTGTATACAGCATGCATTTTTTGAAATCTTCATATCTTGAAGAGACTTCGTCGAAAAGTTCTGAAATTTTTTTTGCAAGCTAGTCTATCTGAGATCTTTATGTGGACAAAGTTTCATGTCAAAAATTTGAAAATAAGGTTGTGCTGGAAAAGTAGGGTCTTATAGAGGAAATTCACTGAAACCTCGATATCTCGCCAGAAACAAGCCATGGCCACGAACTCTTTTTACCATAAACATAATCCACTACGGTTTATAAGATGCACTAAGTCCCGACTCAAAAGCGCTCCAACATCTGGGAATGTTCCCTCGTTAGTTCTTTTCCTTTCTTTAATATATTTCACTGAGTTAACTATACCAGTATATATAAGTTGTTCGTTCATTCTTGTCTCTCAAGTGATAGATATAATGTTCCTGTTGTTTCTTCTTCTTTCATGAAGTATATAAACCTGATATTACCCTTCTCTTGTCGTTACCCGAAGAAAACTTTAATACGCGATATTATTATAGTCTAGTCTGTCATAACATAAAACTTTACTTTGATTCATACACTAACACATTTGAGGCGATGTGACTCACTGATAAAACTATTAAATATCTCTATTCTATTTTAATTAAATAGGTTAATGTTTTTGTTGATGAAGGAGGTGTGCTCAAAGATTTCCTTCAGGAGTGAAACATCAATGAATGCTTCGCTAAGGTGTTATTATCGGCTTCAAAAAGGATGAGTGATCTTCTACAAGTTTCGAAAACACAATGACTAGAATGCATGAAAACTTTGAATTGTAAGAGATTTAGTTTTATTTCAAACAAATTGAACTGGAATTATCTCTCTATAATTTGAACACAAAGATTACCTTACTTTGTTAGAACTTGCTGAATTTATAAGGGTTTACTTCTCCAAAGTAATTATTTGAATACACATGTATATTGTATTTTTTCGAGAATTGTAGAATGCCACTTTTCCTTCTTGAAATCGATTATAATATCTTAACGAAGCATTTATTGATATTTCTCTTCTAAAAGAAATTCTTCAACATACCTCTTTCATCAACAAAAAGATTAATCCCTATGATTAAAATAGAGTAGAGAGAATAAACTTTTTTTTTTATCGTGATCCATCTGTAGATCACATCGTCTCGAGTGTGCTAAAGCTCTGTTGGGTGATTCCCTCGATATTTTAAGGATATATGACCATGTTTGAATAATTTACATGGCTCGGTATTATATGAATGTATGTTTCTGTATAGATTAGGAGTGTTTCGAGGTCGCCAGGATTGGAGAGGAGACGATGATTCAGAAGGCAGATTGAAAGATTTTCGCTAATGTTTTTTTGAGAATTGGTGAGCAAAAAAACGGATAAAACGCTGAAACTTTGTAGGGGAAAATGAAAGTTTCTCAAGATTTGGAGTAGGGAGCGATCTCCGACCCTCCCGCTCAGGACATCCATGGTCATACTTGAAACGAGACCGATTGGATCCGGCTGAGCTATTAAAATCGACCGGTTTTCACCAATTTTCTTTATCAATTATTAGGATACTGAAGTTAGTGTATTTTTCTCGTTTTTCTCGATTTTGATAGTTTTAACGGTTCAAAAATATGAACACGAAGGTTTCCAACTGGCAAAGTCCTAGTTCAGTGGAAACTCTACCTCTATTGAGTTCACGCTTTCTCATCATACGATGAGAGCCTCGGATCATGATGAATGAATTTATTATGGTCATGAAAAATTAGCAAGTTATCAGAAGTTAAATTTGGTCGGAAGTAAAGATTTTTCAATTCGAAACTTCAAGCTCACTTTTCTGGACTATTTTTAACCGACATTTTTCTATTATGTACATTTGTCTTTTTAAATTTTTCTTACACTTGTTTTATTACTCAACTTCCACTAAACAAAAATAGAAATCGGTTTTGTAAAGAACTTTTTTACAATCATTCAATTACTAAATTAATATATATATGTTCAAAGTTTTCTTGTCTTCAGCAATGAAAAAATGAACATGCGATTCGATCGTGTTATTATTATAAATACAGTTCGAGTAGTTTGCTTTAAAGATACGTAAAACTTCTAGAAGTCATTTAACATGGTTATATCTTCTTTCTTTATAATTTCTTTGTGGTAGAAAAATAGAAAGCAACAGAATTTTCGAAACGCTAGACATTGTGAAACTAGCGTATTATTCACGTGTGAATGTATTACGAAAAGAGATAAATGACTGCATATATTAAAAAAGATAAAAATAAGAAGTAAGAAAGAAATACAATTTTTCGTTTCTGCCTACTATCTGTTTGATATAATAAATTTAGATCAATCTCTTTTTCCAAGATATTTCCCTAGATATTTGAAAATGAATACACTCTATAGTACTTTTTGGTTTGTATATCAAGAATGGTGTTCGATCAAATACTGTGCCTTACACTTCTAGAATCGGAAGAGCAAGCTTGATTTTTGGTGAGAGTTTCATCAAACTGCCGATTTTCACACTCTTTATCATCAAATCACGTACTCTAGAAGAAATAACAGAGAGAAAATGATGATACCAGTGGGAGAGTCATATCTATAGCAGCACAAAGATCAAGAACTCACTTATTAGAACAAATATTTCATTGAGTTGAAGTTAGTTAGGAACATGACTGTCCCGCATTCATATGTAAAATTCTAGAATTTTAAGTTTTCGATTTTAATTATCGATCTTTTTAGGTTGATAGAGAAAAATTGCAAACAATTTTTGACATTTTGAGAAAAATATAGTCAATGCAAACCTTATTAAGTACAATAAATGGAATAATATGTAATTAATTTGATGCAAATGATATTGCTGTATTTCAAGCATACAAAGTCTGTCAGTTATCCTAATTATTTTCAATTGTTTATTTTTATTAAATCATTTTGAAATTTTCTTTCAGATAGAAGATGGTCGTTGTTTGGTACAATTACTAACTGAACCCACAACTTTGAAATTCAGTTCTATCGATGATTTAATCGATCGATTATGTGCAGTAAGTTTTCGTTTATATGTTATTTAATTTCTGTATGCTTTCTTTTTTTCTTTGAAAAAAGGGACGAAAATGGTATACAGTCAAATGTGAATGAACCACAACTAAAGTAAAATAAAACTTTGTGTTTTATTTGTTTTTATTAATGGATCGACAGAGTTTTTTACTGATAATAAAAGAATTTCTTTGGTGAACATAACAGTTTTTTGTGGTACAAGAAATGATTTTTTACTGATAATTATATTCTGTTGACTTGTAAAGAATTTAGAAATGCCGGAAAAAGATCATTTATCGAAGAACGAAGAAAACAATTTAGGATTCATGAATCTCACTACGAAAAGAAAGAAGACGAATGAGAACACAACACGTAAGATAGGTTTAGGATACATTTGAAATGATGAATCCATGATCTGTACGATCATATATCTCATCGGAACACCATACGAGACTAATGGAGTAGCTAACAGGTAACTAGAGAGGAATGTGCTTCCCACCATAGTATAAATTTTTCTCTACTGCTAGCGGCCTCTTCTTTGTTCCTAGTGAAAAATTTCGGGCTCTGTCACTATAAGAGATATGCTGAAGTCAGTTATTAGTTGAATCAGAACTGCAACACATATAAATGTTTCCCGCTTCAGATGGATTAAAGAATAAATAACATTATCATCTGAACTATTGATTTTGTTGATGTCATATTTTCTTATCATTTATGATTTTCATAATTTCAATATGAATGAGTCATAGTTTATTGTTTCAATGGAGATAAAAAACTTGTAAGATATAGTGAAAACATGGTTAACAAATTTATTCTATTTTATATGTAAAAGCAAGAAAATATTTATAAATAATAGACCTCAAGGACGAACTCTAAAAGTGTAATTAAAATGTAATAAATAATAAAAGAAATAGAAGTATGCACGAAAAAACAACGTAAAGTTCATCTTCTTAATTCATAAAGGAAATTAAAAGAAAAATTTCATAGAATTGAAGAAGAACAAATATAAAGTCGGCTTTTTCTTGTTCAGATCTACTTCTTGTTAAAAAAAATAAATTCTTTGAAAGTTTTATAGCATCTTCATCATATTGTTCAATGATTACTGCGAATATAACTTGTTCACTTGACTAAACATTTATATTCACTAAAGAAATAAATAACAACCAAATTGAAAATAACTACTAAAATAATGAGACATATTTAAAGAACCATTGATGAAAAAAATTGACTATATTAGTCATTTTCTTCAATGAAAGATTCAATTCTCGATC